AGATGACGATAAAAAATCATCCCAAAGGACTACCACCTTTACTAAAACGCTTCTGGAAAATAGAAAGAAACAGGACTGAATTGCCTGAGAAACTAAGCAAAGAATCACAACATGAACTCACACACTAGCAATGAAGATGGTGGTGAGGACTGAGGAGGATTAAGAGGGGTTTCCCTGGAGATTATAGGGGTCAACCAATGCAGAGAGAAGAGCCTGCCTCAGAGCCAGGGAGGTAATTCATTAAAGGATTGTCTATCTCGCGCCACCTGTTTGCTTTCTGTCGCCATAAACACCGCAGCTGGGGCTGCCTTTACTCCACGCTGAAATCCAAAAAAATGCTTAATAAAAGCAAGAAGTTGACAAGGAAGGATGCCTATCCGGAGAACGAAGATAATCAAGAAAGCTCTAAAGAGGAATGTGAAAACTTGAAGGGAAATGGGGATAGGAAAATTAAAGTGAAAAACCAAATCAGATGGACAAAGGCAAATAGTGTGTGATCCCACATATCTGCAAAGCAAACACACATCTCAGTGAGGTCGCCAGAGGTGGGGCAGGCATGGGTGATTGGAGGAAGGTGTCAGAAGGTGCAAACTCCAGTTATAAGGTAAACAGCAAGGAGGATGTAAGGGCGGTGTTAACGACAGCCTTGGGGCATAATTGAGAGTTGCTAAGGCAGTAAATTCTGAGAGTTCTCATGACAAGGAAAAATAAAACCTGTTTTTCCCTTTGTGCACGTGAGTCTGCATGTTTAATGAGTGTTAACTACAGTGATGATGGTGCCCACTTCCCATCTATTCCCTGTCCCTCTGCTGTACACCCCAATCTTGTCCAGTGCTGTGTGTCAATTATACTTCAATAAACGGAGGGAGAAATACACTTAGTAAAAATATAAAATGCAAAGAATTATTTATGCATTACAGAACTGGGGTACAGGCCAGAGGTGCAGGGGCGGCGAGAGGCTTCACCAGGGACAGAGTGGGGAGCAGAGCAGGCAGATCAATGAAGTACACTGCTGAGGGGAGCAGTGGGCGGGTCAGGAGAGGTCTGTGGAGCCCTGTGGGTCACCTCCGGGGCTGGCGGGAATCGAACTCATGCGGAAGTGGCTTTAGCTTCTTAATGCTGCGCTTTAACCCACTGTGCCACCAGGGAGGGCCTGGAATGCTTTTTTAAAGCAAACAAAAACATTCTTCCTTAGAATAAAATTCTGCTTAGCTGGCAACACTGAGGCCTAGCGCCTGCCTCCCTCCCCTCTCACATGGGGTGCTGCTGTATGAGAAGACTGACAGAGGGCCCCCCACGGCAGCAGGCCCCAGCTCCTCCCCAAGTTTACCTTGCTTCAGTTCAGTAGGGCTACCTAGTCTCCAAGGTGCCTCAGTGCCTGACAGCAACATACTTGGTTCACACACAAGAGCAGGCATTAAGACCAGACTTTTGGGTCCTCTCTGGTGGTGCAACAGGTTAAGGCACAGCACCATGCGGCTCTCTGCAGCCCCTGCAGCACGAGTTCCATCCCCAGCCAGGGAGTGACCCACATGGCATAGCAGACCTCTGCTGCTCCTCTCAACTGGCCTGGACCCCAGTTCTTATTTGCATAAATAAATAAAATATGTTTTTAAAAAGACAAGGATCCACGTAAACAAACCAAAATTCTCAGGGTGAATAAAAAGACAGAGAATTGAATTTTTTAAACTCGCATCCTTAAAAAGATTTAGAATGCCTAGATCCCAAAACAAACTATGACTTCCAAAAAAGAAGGCTGTCCAAGAATGATTCCTAAAACCTAAGAATATAATTGCCACATTCCATTGTGGTGCTGAAACCAAAGTGAACGAAGCTCTAGTCTGAATCTGTAAGCTGAAAGAAAACGTTGAGGAGATGCATCGACATACAAAGAAGCACAAAGTGTAAGAAAAGCTTCTCCGCTACTTATTCAATGAAATTTCAAAATGGGAGACCAACATTAGGAGTTTTGCAGGTGACAAACCTGAGGCTTCGAGAAATGAAGTGATTTAAGTCTCCAGTGTCCACAGAGAGAACTGTGTGTACTCTAGATGTTAATGTGTTTCAGGCAACAGTTTAGACAGAGCATGTGTGTGGCCCAGGGTGAGCGGGCACTGGCCTGGCCTGTTGATGACGTGCAGGCGGTGAAGAGGCCAGCCAGGCTCACACGGGCGGTGTTGCTGTCTCCTCTCTTGTTAATCCATGCAGGTGACAGCCCAGTGTCCACCTTGTTTACACCTGCTGCATGACTGGCCAGTGTGAACTGGGCGTCAATTGATGAGTATTTAAACAGCACCCACGCCGGAATCAGCTCTCTCAATGACAGTTTCACGATCCGCACAGGGCATCAAAATGGGGAAATGAGATTGTTGTAGATATTGTTGTAGAAATTTGAAAGCAGGGGGGGAGAAAAGAAGTGTGCTTTCTGTCATATCCCATATAGACTCCAATACATTTCCTGGCTACTCACCGCTTTTTCCTTATAAAGGAAGCAAGAAAGGAGGCTGCTGTAATCCTCCTCCCCTCCTCCTTTTTTATGTGATCCAAAGGGCAGAACTACCTAGGGAGCCCTGTTCTAGAAATCATCCAAGGACAGGCAAGAGATAAGTCTCAAAGGAGGAGGTTTAATCCAAGGGAGTTAGTAGAAACTAAGAACCAAGATCCACAGTCAAATGATTGATTGCAGAAAGCAAAAACAAAAGGGAGGTGGTTTAAAGAAACATGGAGCCTGTGCCCACAGGTGCAGCAGGTAGATGAAAGTTAACTCCAGCTCAGGTCTGTACAGATCAGCTGAGTTTTCAAGAGACCAGAGAAGAAAGAGCGCAGTTGACCTAAAAACACTTGATGTGGTTATCCTGTTTAATATGACTTTTTTAAAAGTAAAAAGAACCCCAGATTTCTGAACCTTAGCATTTCACCTTTTATTATCCACCTGGTCAAACAGGTGGACAAAGTCTAAAGACAGACCCAGTTCCTGCCAAGGTCGAAGTTAAAAGTCCAAACATTATATTGGAATCCGGCCCAGCATTAAGGGCTGATAATGACATTCACAAAGCTGACACTTTGACTCCTTAGGAATCAAAGATCCCATCAGGAAGCCTTTACAGAGTAGTTCAGATTTTGCTTAAGATTTGTGGGATTTTACAGAGTATGTTCACCCCTGAAGAAACTTCCCTCAAATCGTTGGGAGTTAAAAGCTCATAAGGGCCATAGCATTGGATCCTAAATGTCAATTTCATTGCTCTCTGAAGCCTACAAAGGAAGAAAAAAAATGCCACAGAGTCCCCTGCCCTTTGTTCCTGTTTCCTCCAGAATGCCCTTCACAAAGAGTTAAAAATCAGGGGACCACAGCAATACACGCAGGTCCTGCACGAGATACACTGCTGTATGTGCAGTGATTATCTGCGTTTTCTTCTCTGCCTCTTCATCTTAACAAATACATTTTGACAGGTTTTACAATGCTCTTTACAATTCACCTAAACCACATAATTTTCCTCCTGCTTATACCACTTGTTTATTATTTATTTATTAGATTTATATTGTGTTTTCTTCCAAAAGGCTCACAGTTGCCACACAGCCAACTCTTATATAATAAACATTACATTCAATTCGTCTTAAAAACCATAATCAGGGAAGTAAGCAGAGTAGAAGCAAAAGGGACTTCAACAAAGACAAGAAGCGGGGGTCAGGCATAGGTCTGGAGAAATATGCCACCCAGTTGTGAATTGTAGTAGGCGACCCACTGACCAAGTCTCAGTCCAGCTCCTCTGTCAGCCCCACCTGCCAACATCCCAACTTTACTCCAAGGAAAACATTTCTTTGGGGGGGGGAGAGGTGGGGAGGGTTAATATGTTGGGGAGAGTGGAGGTGGTGTAATATGCCAGCTATTTCTCAGCACTCTGGGAAGTGTGTCAAGGATACCGATACCCACCACTATTTCCAGCATCCATGGAAAGAGATATATGGTAATGTTTCCTACCAAATCACCAAAATGTTAGTTTTTTGTTATTTTCTTTTTACAAATGCAAGTCACACTCAGTCCTGCCTTTTGTTAAGTGTCCTTGACTTCCAATGACTAGATTGTCAAAGTTCAGAGCATTCCAAATGCTCAAAGAGACCAAAAGTCAAAAAGGAATGGGGTGGCTTTAGGTGACTAAAGTAACTGCTTTCATAAAACCCTTCACTAAAACATGCAGTTATCACTGAAGCACTTACCATTGGTGGTAACTATTTCATTTATTAATTTACCTGTGCCATCATTAACTACTAGATGGCTTTCACAGCACAAATATTTTCTCCCAGATACAAAGGCTGAACATGCAAAATCAAGGTGTCTGCAGGCCCAGATGCCCCTGCCAGGCTCTAGAGAAATCCCTGGTGGAGGCTGGCAGCCCTTGGCTTGCATCCTCATCACTCCAATCTGTCTCTGTGGTCATTCTCCCCATGCCTCTGTCTGCGTGTGATTCTTCCTCTTTTATATGCACGCCAGTCAAATGGGTTAAGGATTTTCCTTGCTCGACTCCCAATCGTAGGTCACAGGTGCAGTATCTGAGCCATGAGTATGGCAGATTTACACTGCCACGTACACAGGAAGATTCCTGGAGCTCAGACATCTACCTCAATGCCGGGTGCTTGTTCATGACCGAGGCGCCCCCTTTACTTCTCAGCGGCCTACACAGTGGGATGGCACGCTAAATTAGACTCTGCTTGGTGCACACTAGAAATAGAACAGAGTGAACAGGTGCTCCAGTGGGAACTGAAGCTTCATTGGATTGACAAAAATACAGCCCCAGCATGGTCTTCTGGCCCACATCTCCACCACCCGGAGGCTTATGCAGCAAGTCAAGAAGTGAGGGCCACTTCTATTTTGAAAAGTGACCATTTTATTTGTATAATAAGTGCATCTTGGCCTTCTCAAACCCACTATTTTCTGCAAGCAGATAGAACCCACCGAAAGTAATCCATTCCAGCTCCAGTAAAAGGAAAGGAGCGTCTCCTACCTTCCACCTGATAAGCAGAGGTGGCTGCCCCCCATCCGAATCCTGCAGGAAAGGCCATGTCTTCAGAAGATGGTCAGCTGGAGCTGTCCGCCTGGAGGAGTTCTGTGCCTCGCAGTCAGAGGACCCAGGCAACTGTGCAATCAGTAAATGACCTCTTGCCCCAGATTAGAGTCCGGGAGCAGATATGGGTACACAAATAAGGAGCTGATCACAGGCCCCCTCCTGACTGGCCATGGCCTGGATATGAGTCGGAGACAATTTGTACCTGCCAGTACACTCTCCCTCAGGCACGCCCTGATCCTTACCAGAGTTCCACCAGCCTGTGTCCACACCCATTCATCCACTCTTTCCCCGTTGAGTGTAATACATGGACGTTGTTTTTGAAAGTCACATAATCCTGCTAGCATTTTCCCTTAGCTGATTCCTCCCTCTTCTAAATCCTCACTCCCTAGAGGCAACCATGTGCAATCGTTTCTTCTCTAATTCACTCCCGTGTCATTTAAATAACAGGCTGACACTGATGCTTACAATTTCTCCTCAATGTTTAGTGATTGCTATTGGATATGGATATTGGGGTAGAAGGTTTAGCTACTTTTCTGGGTCTCTGTCTCTCTTCCTCTTCCCTATACATTCAACATGACAACATTGCTTTTTTCTGTTTAAATGGATATTTGATATTTATACTACTACGACTTTACATGGGCTATAGCTCTGACATCTAACACACCATGCTCACATGCAACTCTATGTTTTTTCTGTGTGTTAATTGACTGTCTGGCTTTTATACTTTTTTTTAAGATTTATTTTATATATTTTTGTATATGAGCACTAGGGTACAGGCCAGAGGTGCAGGGGGTGAGAGGATTCACCAGAGACATAGTGGGGAGCAGAATAGGCAGAATTATGAAGTACACTGCTGAGGGGAGCATCAGAGGGGGGGGGGGCGGGGGGCGGTCAGGAGAGGTCTGTGGTTTAGGTCCTTGGCCAGGGATCGAACTCGTGCTGTAAAGGCTTGTGCTAGCTTCACAGTGCTGAGACTTATCCTATGCCACAGGAGACCCTGGCTTTTCTATTAATATTGTCTATACCTAGTATCAATTAATCCCCAATCTTACAGAACTCTGTGCCTCATTCTTCTGTCCCTTTCTGTACTGGTTGTTTTTCAGGCTCCACAAAACTGCATTGTCTGTGACCTAGAAAATTCCTTCCTGCTGTTTCCCTCTGTGTTTCTTCTCCACTTTTATGGAAGCAAATCTTTGAATACCTTTCTCATAAAGGGGGGAAGGGAAGCATCTTCTTTGAAAGCCTTTAGTTCTAGTATGGTCTTTATTCTAGTGTCACACCTATAGGTGATTTGATTACTCTAGTACAACGGAAATAATTTTCACTCACAATATTGAAGGTTTTGTTCAAGATTTCCCAAATGCCAGTGTGGCTATTGAGCAGCTTGATGGCAATCCAATTACTGATCTTTTAGAAATGACCAGTTTTGTGCACCCAACCACCGTCCCTGTTCCTGGAACTTCTGTTTTTGCAATTTCAAAAGGCTGGGCAGTGATGCCAGCCTCTACCTCGACAGCCGGATCTCTAACTTACCACAGGAACACAGAATGTTGCAAACAGGGGAAAATGGATGAGGGAACATGAAAACAATCTGTACTATCTTTGTAACTGTTTTCTGTCCCTCTAAAATTGATCCAAAATGAAAAGTTCCCTTTAAAACTAACAAAGCCTGTAGAGACAAGAATTGAGAAAAATCAAAGTGAGGAAAGTTACTTATTCAGCCCCTCCAAGACAGCATAAAGTCATCTAACTGTAATGGCAGTAACACAAGACTGGAAAAAGGAAAAACTAAACACTACCCTCTCCAATTAGAGTGAAATTCGATCTTCTCTGGTTTTCTTAAGAAAAAAGAAGAGGTCACATAGAAAACAGAATGAGGACAGACATCTAGAAGTGTATGCTTAATGAAATAAACATCAAAAATACAATACATGCTACTAAATCGAATTCCCATAGTCACTCAGTCTGAGACAATCACCATAAATTGAATGAAAATAATATTAAAAGGTTTTCGTTATTGACACTAGATGGCAGCATTGTAATTTTTTTAGATTTATACGTTGGGTGAAGTTTCAATCTGCGTAGTCCTGCCATGGACAGCTCACTCAGCAACCCTAGATAACTGCAGCTGCTCTCCTAATGATTTTTCTCCAAAAGAGCAAACTAATTTCTCAGTGCTCACATTCTCTGAAGTTATCTGACAACGAATGGCAGGATTTAATTTTTCTCAATTTTGGAGCTTCTAGTATAACTTCCTCAAGCGTTTTTGGTGCTAGGACTTCTTTAAAATAATGGAGCTCCCTAAGGAACTTTTAAAATGTGAGCTATCTTTATCAATATTTATAAGAAACTAAAACTGAGCCGTAAAAATATCAGACACATTTTAAAATGCTCACCACACTCATTATTAAGAAGATGCCAATCAGAACCACCATGAGAAGCCACCTCACTCCCATGAGGTGGCCCGTAGCAAAATGACCAGATGTAACAGATGCTGGGCAGAGGAGGGAGACAGGGAGCCACAGCGTGTTGATGGGACCGTAGACTGTACCGCCCCTCTGCAAAACACTATGGAGATTCTTCAAAATATGAAAAAGAGATCTACTTTATGATCCAGCAATTCCAATCCTAGGATCTACCCAAAGGTGCCAAAACACTAATACCAAGGGATATAGATGCTGCTATGCTCACTCTTTACATTCCTCATGGCACAGACACTACCTTAGTGCTTAACCACGGATGCTAAGTTGTGATACGTTGCAGCTATTTTTAAAAATGAAATCGTGCTGTTGTAACCATATGGATGGAACTGGAGGGGATTATGTTGTGAGGTAAAGTAGAAGGAGAAAGACAAGTGGATTTTTTTTTTTCACTTCTGTGTGGACTATGAAAAGATAAAGTAAAAGGAAGAAAGAAATTAAATCAAAACAAACCATAAAAATCTGCCTATGGAATTGAGGTTACCAGGGGAAGAAGTTTGGTAAAGAGGGGAGGAAGCACAAGTACTGTGGTGGAGAACTCGGGGTGCCCTTGTGGTGGGTGAGTGTGGAAACACGCATCTGAAGAGGCATGAAGCTATTCCCCTAAGCCATGCATAGTGTTAGGAACTAATGTTACCAAAGTAAAAATAACAACTCTGTAAGTGTTTATGTGGATACTATATGTGTATACTGATAACCTCATTTAAAAGCATTTACACAGCATATACTATGAAAAATAATCATGTATTCCCAAACCAAAAAAAAATTTATTTTATATATATATATATGTATATATATATATTTGGGAAAGAGTGCTTCATATCTTTTACAGATCTCTTTGGTCATATCTATGTCATTCAAGTTGTTGCCGCACACATGGAGATGAGACTAACCATGGACAATCATGATTCCGAATCAGGCTTTGACCTTTGAACCCCCAAAGACTCCTCAAGGTCCTGAGGAACATAGCTTTCATGGTCCTCACTCCCTTCACCTCTGCCAGTACCTTCCATTATTACCCTCAATGATCTCTATTCCCTCAGCTTAGAAGAATTCATTATACTACTATTCCCTGAACAAAAGTCATCGTGGCTACAAGCCACATGAATTTGCAGCCACATCTTGAATATGAAAAAATATTTATTTTCTGATTTAAAAAAAAATTCTCTAAACTCTGAGAAGAAACAAAATTGATTGGTAATTATTTTTCTAACCCTAACTGGTGACTGAATTTGTAAATTTCTAGGTTTTTCTATACTCAATTTTAGGGTCATATGGAAGAATTTAGGCCCTATGGAGAATAACTTTTTTTTTAAGATTTATTTATTTATGCATATAGAACTGGGGTATAGGCCAGCAGTGCAGTAAGAGAATTCTCCAGAGACAGAGCAGGGAGCAGAACAGGCAGATCGAGTGAAATACACTACTGAGGGGAGCAGCAGGTGGGTCAGGAGAGTCCCGCTGCGCCATGTGGACCACCTCCCTGACAGGGGACACAATTTGCAGTGAAGCGGCTGTGTCCAGCTTGCAGCACTGCATCCAAACCCACTGCACCACCAGGGAGGGCCTCACTGCTTTTTTAACTGCAAAATGAACTATACTTCAATAAGGATGCAGCCCCATTAGTCATGACTTTGACCCACTCATCTGGAATCACTAAGATTCAATAACCCTGGCATCCAGTTGTTCCTATGTATCTGTGTCAGGAGGAAAGGCAGTTTTTAATAAAGTTGTTCTGTCTGAAGCAAAGACTGCTAATCCTGTTTTCTTTTCCACGTAGACACAATTAGACCACATCCGTCAGCTACCTTGCAGGGCCATGTGACCCTATGACTATCCTGGCCAGTGGAAATTGGGTAGAATTATATTCACAACTTCCAGGTCAGGTCATTGAAATTTGCTCAAAAAGCAATCCAGGATTAATACATATGTCATCACTGTCTTTTTGCCTGCCAACTGGAAACAGATGCTCCACTGGAAAACTCTGATGCTCAGGAACCCCTACATGGAAGGAACCTGGATCCCTGTATAACCATGTGGAGCAGAGTCCAGCCCTGATCCCACAAGCAAACCACTTTGAACTGTGAAAAAAGTGATAATAAAGGTTAACTTTGCTAACCCACTGAGAAAAGGGAGTTATTGATAAATTCACTCTGGATAATCACTACATTTTTTAAAAGAAAATAAAAGAACTCCAAAGAAGAATTTTAATGACTTCAAAGCACTGTTTTACCAGCAGGGGAGCCTCTGAGTTGATATCATGTCATAAGGGGAGAAAGGAAGTGAAAGAGAAAGTGGAGGGCCAGGTGGGGAGAGACACACCAAAGGGCAAAATCTACCTGCAGTGGTTTGTGTAATGGATGGTTCATCTCGATTTTCCGCACTTACCAAGAATGATCTAGTCAAATCTTGACCCAAGAGTATGTTTTACAAAAGTGCTTCTCAACCAGGGCTCTTGAGTCCTGAGAGTCATCAGGCTATTTTTAAAATTCCAATAACTCTAATTGCAGTTGTA